ATGGTTGACTGAAAATGATGGCTATTCTTGGACCAAGCTGGACTCATACTGTACCATCATTTTCCTTTCCTCATCACAGAGAAAAAGGTAATCAGAAAGATAATGTATTAATATAAAATCTAGAGAAAATGGTTAAAATGCTACCTATAATTACCCAAGACTATTGTAACTAGGCTTTATAATTTTTCAATGTAATCCTGGAAGCAGGCTTACTCTTTGTAGGAACTTCCACGGGGGATGAGGTACCATCTCCATTTTTGACAAGATCAGATGTTCTTATTGTTTGTTACAAAAAGCAGCAGATCCACAAGTTCTTTGTTCCTCAGCCGGATTGTGAACTCACTGTTTATATCTCTGTCTGGATCATATTGTTTCACTCCCATGCAACTTAAGAGGAAAGAGAACCAACACCAATGAAATGCCACACAGGCAGCTTTCTGGCCATGCATTTCATTTCTTCTGTCACAAGTGAAAAGTAATAGGCTAAGTTATTAGCTTGTAAATAAGGTGAAGCCAAGCCCCAGTCCCCTGTAATTCCTGAAAACAGCTCTCATCTCCTGCCTCCTCATTGAATCTATTCTATCAAAGGGGAAAATACCAAGAACCTGGTCTTCAGAGTGCTTGAGTTTGGTTGAAGATTGGCTGTACAGAGGATGAGCTAAATAACTGATGAGTAACATAAGAGGTATAATAAGGTAGCAGGTATTATTTAAGTCCAAAGTAATAACATCTTTATAATATTATTATTTTTATAATATTTATTATTTTTTTAATAATATAACATTATTATTATTATTATATTATCGGTCATCAGGCCTGAACCCTGGGCCTGGGCGCTGTCCCTGAGCTCTTCAGCTCAAGGTTAGCCCTCTACCACTTGAGCCACAGCGCCACTTCCAATGTTTGTAATATTATTAAGGTTACTCAAGTCCAAAGCACTATGATACACCATTGAGGTTCTGACTTAGGAGGAAGAAGAAAGTTCCATGTGTTGTGGTACAAAAGCTTCCAGGAAAGCTGCAAGTAGTGAGTAGAAGAATAATAAGTCATAGTGTGGACTAGGGCACAAGATCAGGAGAGAGGGGTTGTTATTGTTGGCTTGCTCTCTTTCTTCCTTTCTCTCTGTATGTATATTACATTTATTATATGTTTATTATATATGTATCTATATACATATATACACTATTTTAATCATATGTGTTACATAATATATACATATGTGCGTATATATATATATATGTGTGTGTGTGTGTGTGTGTGTATAAAATGTGTAATGTGAGTGTACGTGCTAGTCCTAAGCTTGAACTCAGGACCTCAGTGCTGCCCCTGAGCTTTTGTGCTCAAGGCTAGCATTCTACCACTTGAGCCACAGCTCCATTTCTGGCTTTTTTGGTGTTTCATTGGAGATACTCAGGTTTCACAGACTTTCCTACCCAGGCTGGCTTTGAAACGTGATCCTCAGATCTCAGCCTCCTAAGTAGCTAGGATTACAGGCATGAGGCACCAGTGCCTGGCAGCCCACTCTATATTTTAAAGTCATCTGTTCACATCTCTGTGAGAGTACTTGTTACATAAGAGAGTAAAAGCAGCAGCTCAAATGCCTGTCCTTCTACTGAGAACTATTAAAATGTAGCATGATATTTATTCCTTGTCCCATAGTAGGCACACAATAAATGTAGCCAGATGGATGAATGAATACATGCAGGAATAATGATTGAAAATGTAAGTCGATGTAGCAGTCAGTGTATGTGACAGGAGGAGAGGCAGTAGGTGGCCTGGTGATACTGAAAGGGACCTTGAATACCAGGTTGTGGTCACTGTTTATAGAGAATGGAGATCATGGTGATTGCTTTAGGAAGGTTTATTTAGCAATAAGGAACACACAAGTCTTTTCTTTGTGAGGACTGGGCTCCAAAGACATTAAGGGGCAATTAGATGATCTTAGATAATTTCACTTTTGAAAATGCTCCCTGTGATGTGACACAAACCATTAAGATGATGATCCTCTGAGTCACCAGAGAAAGAGAAGCTAGGATCACTGTTGAGCCAGTTTAGTCCATCCCATTAAGGATGACCCCCCTAACCTTGTGATTCCTCAGGACTGATCCTCTCCCTCCACAGGGAGCTCAGAAGGGAGTAGTAGTCAGATGGCAACTTTGTGTGTGGCCATTCATCATAATAAAGAGAAGCGGATCCTAAGTGGCAGAAATGCACTTACCAGCTGGCACAGATGGAAATATCACCTCCCCCACCCATTGCTAGGTATCTTCTATGCCAGGGGCCAGGAACTTGACCCATATTGAATGCATGACTTGGACATGCATCTAGGTCTTCATGATGAACTAATTTGAACAGAGAAGGTTGAAACACTTAAAATAGTTTCATAAGTTGAATTTACATCTTGGTTAGGCATGTGTTCTCCAAGATCATTGCTGCAGTCTATGGAGAGATTTTTTTTTCTCCTTTGATCCAGGTCATTGCACACTATCTTCCTGTTTCTCTCAGCATCATTGCCTTTGCTGCTGAAAGGGGAGTAGAGTTCTCTCCACAAGCTCTCAAGATGTTTACCTGGAAATACCCAGCCAAGTGCTGGTCACTGTGATTTTCTCTGTGGTTGGAAGAGTTCTGTATCAGAATTTTCACAACAGTAAAAACAACAAGGGCATGCGGCATCCTTGCACACCATGCTTTTTCTGAGCTTGTTTGTCTCAATGACCAGATTTTATTTTTTGTCTTTGCCATCATGGCTTAAAAAATACATTGTCTGGAAATTTTTCAAATAATATTAAAGTAATTTTACATTGTTAGTGAATTTAGATTCTATCCTTAACATTTTGTTGTATGTTCTTAATTATATTTCTGTTCATTTAGAGTGGACTTTTTTTTCTTTTTTTTGGTTGGTCATGGGGCTTGAACTCTGGCTTCAGCTCAAGGTGAGTACTCTACCACTTGAGCCACAATGCTACTTCCAGTTTTCTGGTGGTTAATTGGAGATAAGAGTTTCACTGACTTTCCTGCCTGTGTTAGCTTTGAACCACGATCCTCAGATCTCAGCCTCCTGAGTAGCTGGGATTACAGGTGTGAGCCACCGGTGCCCAGCTTAGAGTGGATTTTTAAAACAACTTTTTCTGTTATGCAATGTAACTATTCTGAGTAAGAATCATATAACAAAACAAATATTATAATGGCTAGGAAAGTGCATAGTGTAAAATTTTACTCCAGTTTGTGTATATGATTGTTAATAAAATTAACAAAAATAGATGGGGTGGAGGAGAAGTGGGGGAGGTGGGAGAGGAAAGGGATAGTAGGGAAAACAAAGGAGGGGTAACAATGTTTGGCAAGAAATGTACTCATCACCTCACTCATATAACTGTAACCCCTCTGTACAGCATCTTTACAATAAAATTAAATTAAAAAAATAAAAATAAATAGATACCAAATACAATATGTGACATATAGAAAACACAAAAACACCTTTCAGTTCACTCTATGTAACTATACTACAATTTAAGCACAACTCTGAATAGTCAGTTGGAAGACAGACATGAAATAATTGAAATTTTATTCTTATCTTTATAGTCACTGTGTGATTCTGCTTGTGTCAGCTTCTGGTTTTCTGTTTGAATGCAACAGAGCTTGATGGAGACAAGGACTAAGCCCCAAGTCAGCTCAACTGGTTTCAATAATTCCAAACTGTTAGGACTGTGCCCTCAGGTAGGAGGATTGTGAGTTCAAGGTCAAACTAGCAAGATTCTGTTGAAAAGGAACAAGCGAGCAAGCAAGAAAGAGATGGAAGGAAGGAGAGAAACTAACGTCTGTATGTATGGTATTTCTGTGATTTTTTTTAGTTCTGTGGAGAAATGCTTGAAAGTAATGTGACACCATAGTGAATTTGTTCTGCAATGAAATATTTTTCTCTCTAGAATCACCACCTAATTTCTGCAGGAAGGAGAGAAAGGAAGGAAGGAAGGAAGGAAGGAAGGAAGGAAGGAAGGAAGGAAGGAAGGAAGGAAGGAAGGAAGAAGGGAGGGAGGGAGGGAAGGAAAGAAGGAAACTTACATGTTTTTCCCCCTTGTTTTTGTTTGTTTTTTGTCAGCCATGGGGCTTGAACTCAGGGCCTGGGTGCTGTCTCTCAGCTCTTCAGATCAAGGCGAGCACTCTACCACTTGAGCCACAGTGCTACTTTGGGTATTCTGGTGGTTAATTGGAGATAAGAGTCTCTTGGACTTTCTTACCTGGGCTGGCTTTGAACCACAATCCTCAGACCTCAGCCTTCTGAGTAGCTAGGATTACAAATGTGAGCCACTGGTGTGGAGTGGAAACTTACTTTTGAGCAGGCATGGTGGTATACACTTGTAATCCAATTCATAGAGAGGTTGAAGCAGGAGTATCTTGAGTTAAAGGCCAGCCTTGGCCTTGTCTAAAATATCAACCAATCATTCCAATCAATTAATCAATCAAGCAAACAAGTAACAACAAAACCCAAAAGTCTAATGAGGACTATAAGAGTATTGGGAGGAAAATCTTGCTGAGTGAGAGTTTTCCAAGGAGAGTAGCTTAGAACTCTAGGAAGTATGAAAGAGACTCAGGCAAGAGAAATGCAGTATGAGGGTGTCTAAGAAATAGTGCTGCAAGTGAGACCTGCTCCCTTTCCTCAAGAGAGGCAAGCAACAGGTTGAGTGACTTTTGCCAATATTTTTGGATTGTTTGTAGGAAATTTTGCCTTGGATCTGGACTGAGAAGATCCTCACTCATCCTCATTACATTAGGAAGTCTCTGGTTCATGGGAGCAGAGTGCAGTGTCCCTTTAACACTCACAGTAGAAGGATGAGGCAGCTTCAGTTTCTGAATTGGACCCGATGGAGGTAAGTTGATTCCATTCCTCTGAAAGCTAGCTTGAATGCTCTGACTCTGCTCTCCATTCTTCCCCAGCAAACATGTAAGGGGTGAACACAGACTTGTAGACATTCCCGAACGGTCACATCCAGAAACGCTTTAAAATGGATAACGGAAACAGTGATCCTACCTCTAAACCTGCTGAGCTAAAGGTAAGCAAGTGTGGAAGTCCTTCTCTCTCAATTCAAAACCATTTATTGTTTATTCTGCTAAGTAAAACAAGATGGCATGACTTTATAAAAATAAAGGAGACAAAAAGAAGAGATTGTTTACGTGGTGCTTAATGGATTTACAAATGGGAGTTTGTTGTAAAGTACTGTCCTTGGCAAGTGTTTAGCAACTGGTTTTCCATTGACCACTACACAAATTCCACTTTAAAATTTAATCTAACTGAAACTGCCTAGAATGTGTTCTTACAATGTGGGTCTTGCCAACTATCTGCATTTAGCATTTCTTTTAGTTCTGTGGAAAAATGCTTCAAAGTAGCATGACACCGTAGTCAAGTTATATTGCGATGGAGTGTCTTTCTCTTTAGAATTGCCACCTCCTTCCTGCAGGAAACCACATGAAATGAAGTCTAATCTAGTTCAATTTCACCAGGAGGGATAAGACCTATATTTCATTCCAAGGGTTGACAAGGGTATTTGGCAAAAAGAATAAAGGAGTCATGAATAATTCAAAAGCACTTGGCCAATATTATCCCATTAATTCTCAGGATTAAAGACTAGAAGTCATAAATTTTGAAGAGTGAGGAAGAGAAAGAAAGGATATGAGAACTCTTAACAACACGAGAGATGATTTCTTCAGAAGTAGTGTGCTAGGCCCTTGCCTTAAAAGAATGTGTGGTTAAAAGTTATTTCATCACTGGAGTTTAGTTACCCTGACATGCATAAATCTCTTTGTTAAGGAAGCTAAACTATCACATACATTATTAAATAATTCACAGCATCAAATGACAGAAGAAGAAAATAGGAGGAGGAGGGGAAACAGTTAAACCATGTAATTTTTTTTCTTCTTAAACTAACATTTTGTATCAATATACATCAATCAAAAATGTTCCAACCTATTGAGTCTGCTATTTTATTCTTTGCTCTCTCTCTCTTTTTTTTTTTTTTTGTCAGTCATGGGGCTTGAACTCTGGGCCTGAACGCTGTCCCTCAGCTCTTCAGCTCAAGGCTAGTGCTCTACCACTTGAGCTACAGTGCCACTTCCGGTTTTCTGGTGGTTTATTGGAGATAAGAGTTTCACGGACTTTCCTGCCCGAGCTGGCTTTGAACTGCTACTCTCAGATCTCAGCCTCCTGAGTAGCTAGGATTACAGGTGTGAGCCACCGGCGCCTGGCTCTTTGCTCTATTTTTTGTTGTTGGTGGTGGTGATGGTGGTGGCCGTGGGGCTTGAACTAGGGGCCTGAGCACTATCCCTGAGCAATTTTTTTCAAGGCTAGTGCTCTACCACTTTGAGCCACAGTTCCGATTAAGGTTTTCTGATGGATAATTGGAGAAAAGGGTCTCACAGACTTTCCTGCCCAGGCTGGCTTTGAACCCTGATCCCCAGATCTCTCTCAGCCTTCTGAGTAGGAAGGACTACAGAGGTGACCCACCAGATCCCAGCTGCTTTGTTCTATTTTTAAATTATCCTTTCATTTATGATTGAGAAACTGAGTTACTAGTTTGGTGGTTGGCAATGATGACATAATTAGGTTGGATTCCTGTCCTTTAAATCATCATAACATCTTAGCTTTTTCTCCCTACCCACTCAGTCAGGAAGTCATAATGAGAAAAATCAATGTATTTCTGCAGGGGGAACTCACATTCTTATTTTCAATCCTGCCTCAGTCCGGAAAGAACTGATTATGAGAGAAAAGCAATACCCATCTAGGCATGGTGGCCCATGACTATATTCTAAGGACTTAGCAGAGAAGCAACAGGATTGTGAGTTCAAGGGCAGCCTGGACTATATAGATTTTGTTGCACAAAACAAAACTAGGTGAAATAAACACAAATTACAAAAAGTCCATGCAGAGAGCTGTATGTATAAATGCATCTATGTGTACATCCATCCTCTGACTTTCAGATTCCTCAGTCTGCTTGGCTCCGATGAAATTTAGGCCTCTGTTCCACAGCATCTGCTCATCAGGGTGGACACGATGGGGAAAGGACCTGGGAGCCGTTTCCCTGGGGCTGGTACAGTGTCTCACAGAATGTTAACAGACAGAGCGGGGCTCCCAGCACCCCCCCATGCTCTTCTAACTGGGACATCCATTTAAGCTTTAGACTATTTCTAATTGATACCATGCCTTTCTTTTCTTTTCTCTTTGAATTTAAGATATCCAATATCTCAGTTCAGGTGGTCAGTGCTCCAGGGAAGCTTCCAGGGAGACGACCCCCTCGACCCCCACGACCCCCTAGACCCCCACGGCCGCTGCGACCCCCACGACCACCTCGCCAACCCACTGGCAAAGCCAAACCCAACCAACAGCTTAAGAAGAAGACTCCCTTTTGGAACGTCCAAAATAAAATCATTGTCTTGACGGTGTTTTTGTTCATCCTAGCGGTCATAGCCTGGACGCTTCTGTGGCTCTACATCAGTAAGTTGAATTCTATATTCCTTCTGGGTCATAGCATGAGGCGGAACCCCGTCATCCTCACCCAGGCCCCACTGGGCCTCAGGCAATTCTGATGGACATGTCCTCTTTCCCAGAATGACACAGTATTTAAGGAGAAAGGAACCGGAAATTGTCTTTCTCATTTTGCCTCCTCCCCCCCCCCCCCAGCACTGCTTCCTACCCTACGCAAGCAGGGGAGGGCAGGGGGAAAGATTATGGAGAGAGGCGAGGAAGATGCTCAAGGGATCTCGACTGGCTAGGAAATGTGATGTATTTGTAGCTGAGTGGAATGCTAAGCTGGTTCACTTCCTCATTCCACCCACTGCCTGTTTCTAGGCAACCATAAATTTCCTGCTCCCTGAACTCCATTTTACACAAACATCTTGCTCTCCCCGCAAATGTTTTTTTGTTTTTTGCCTCTCAACTTGAATATGTTTCTGTCAACCTGACATCTTTTTGGACAACTGAAATCACCAAGCTCTTTTCATCTAAAGTGCTTATTCACTCAATTGAGTAACGAGAACATTCGTTGGCGTCTTGGAGCTCCCATCCTCCACGTGCTAATAATATGTTTGATACATGTACTATCATAGAATATGAAATCATATTTGGTCTCTGCTCGTGGTTTCTGGTTTAGGGCTTCTAATGCTTCTGTAGCTTCCCAAGTGCTAGGTGTGACAGAAACATCTTTTGTTTTAATGCTTAATCTTGGTATCAATTCTTACCACAGAACCTCTGGGAGTATTTTTAATAAATGTTAATAAGATGATGACTGGTGGCTGAATGCTTCTGGGAATACAGTGGAACCAACCAGTTGACTTGGGGAAAAACAAAAAATAAAACACAGGGATCCTGTTGGAAAAATAAAAGCAGAAAGGGCTAGGAGCATGGCTCAGGGGGTAGAACACCTGCCTAACAAGCACAAATGCCCGAAGTCAAATTCCAGTAGCACCGAAACATAAAAAAATCAAAGTTAGGTAAATGTGAACAGATTCAATGGTAAATTGACTGTGTGTTGCTGCTGTGGTGACCTGATATGTATTCTTCTGAGAAGGATGTGTGAGCTGTCGTTTTTATTCAAATTTTGAGTCTACAACTTTAAAAAGAAATTGAAGAAACATTGTCTTTCCTTCTTTCGCTCATAAAAACAAGACCAAAAACAATTGTTTGATAGGGTGAAGGGCCAAGGTCATAACCCCAAAAAACAAATCTAAGTGATTCATTCAGGCCTTTTGCTCTTTCTCTGGGTGCCCTTGGGGGTGGGTCTTGTGCTAACAGGAATATTTCTCTCTCTCTCTCTCTCTCTCTCTCTCTCTCTCTCGCCCAAAGCCTCTTACCCAGGGTCTCTGTGAGAGCCAATGAGTTTCTTCCTTCTTTCCCTATTATGCGAACTTGATGACACATAGTCAATCTGGGGGACATTTAGGACTTGCCAAAATTGCATTTGGTTATTTAACCCTCTAGAGACGCTAAAGGCTGAGAAGTATAGCTTTTAGCCATTTGCCAGAAGCTGATAGAATATTCAAGGAGACACAGTGGGGAAGAAATGTCCTTAAGTGCATAAGTCATTTAAGGAGCTTCGTAGGGACACAGGTCAAGCGATGCCTTGTTGCTGCTCAGATGGGACCCCCCCCATCATCTTCTCTGTTTTTCAGGTAAGACAGAGAGCAGAGATGCATTTTATTTTGTTGGGGTGTTTCGCATCACAAACATTGAGTTTCTTCCTGAGTACCGGCAGAAGGAGTCCAGGGAATTTCTTTCGGTGGCCAGGACCGTGCAACAAGTGGTGAGGAGATGGGAAGATGGAGGCCTGGAGGGTGGGCTGGAGGGAGAGGGGGGGGAGGGGGCGGCTCAGGGTAGAGGAAACTACCGGGCAGGGTGGATAAGAAAGCCATCAAAGAAAATTATGAGATTTAGCTGTTCTGTGCTATAAAACAGAATTGCCTCCCCTGCCCCCCCCCTTAATGTAAGGAGACCTAGGCAGTAACACACACCTGTAATTTCAGAACTCTGGGAGCTGGGACCATCTGATCAGCCTGAACTACATAACTACATAGTGAGTCCTTGTCTCAAAGGAAAAAGGAAAAGAAAGCAAGCACTCACGCAAGCAAAAGAAACCATAGCACAGTAGTTTACATCTGGAATCCCAGCTAAATAGGAGGCAGAGTTAGAAGGGTCATGGTCTCGGAATGACATGGGCAAAAGTGGAAGATTAAGACCCTTTCTAAAGACAGACTAAAGCAACACAGGCTGGCAGTATGGCTCAAGTGGCAAAGCTCAGTACTGCCCCCAATTTTTTTTTTTTTAATGAAAATGAATAGCTCAACATCTGTTTTAACGTCTGTAAAATAAACTGGACCAAATGATTTCCGGTTCTTAGGTTCCATGACTGTGACTAGTTTAGTGATTATACGTATTTATTACAATCTTGATGTACTTGCAATTTCTGCATTAAATGCATCTCACCAGGAACTGGAGGCTAATTCCCATAGCCTCCATAAGGAGGGTGAAATCTGGAGGAGCAAGATTTGAAACCAGCCAGGCAAAAACATACAAAAGATTCTTATCTCGAATCACCAGCAAATAACTGAATTGGAGAAGCGGCTCAGGTAGTAAAGCATCAACTCAGCACCCAAAGGCCCTAAGCTCGATCCTTGTTGCTGGGAAAAAAAGGAAAAAAAACTTCAATCTATAAATAGTATTTATTATAAAAATCAACAAAACTTGGAAAAACATAAAAGTAAACATTAAAGCCTTTGATGACATCACCAGAGTTAAAACCTCTCATTATTCTGCACTACCTAGGCATGGGGATAAAGCAACACTGGGCCTTTTCTTCTTTTGGCTTGACATTGTGCTTCTGTGTATGTCAATATTCTTTTGGGGGGGGGCAGGTCCTGGGGCTTGCATTCAGTGTCTGGGCACTGTACCTGAGCTTTTTTTGTTCAAGGTTAGTGCTCTATCCTTTGAGCCACAACTCCAGTTTTTTATATTTTATTTGCTGGTTAATTGGAGGTACTATAAGAGTCTCAAAGACTTTCCTGCCTAAAATGGTTATGAACCAGGATGCTCAGCTCTCTCTGTCTTCTGGGTAGCTAGGATTACAGGCATGAGACACTGGTGCCCAGCCAAGTCAATATTCTTTTTTTTTTTTTTTCCTGTCGGTTGTGGGGTTTGACCACTGAGCCTGGACATTGTCCCTGAGCTCTTCAGCTCAAGGCTAGGGCTCTACTACTTGAGCCACAGTACCATTTCTGGTTTTCTGGTGGTAATTGGAGATAAAAGTCTCAAGACTTTCCTGCCTGGGCTGGCTTTGAACTGTGATCCTCAGATCTCAGCCTCCTGAGTAGCTAAGGTTACAGGCATGAGCCACCGACCCCCAGCTTCAACATTCTTTTTAAATGCAACTTCTGATTGCATAAGAGCTTAATTGAGTGTTTTACTGTTTTATTGGCTATTTAACCACTTGCATTTTTTGCTACTGTGGAAACTACAATATTAAGATTGTCCCCATATCAGGGCATGGTGGTACATACCTGGTGGCTGAGGCACCAGGATTGAGTGTTCTAGCCTGGGCTATTTGGTGAAATCTTGTTTCTGAACGCAAAACAAATACACAGGTGCATGTGTATGTGCTCTCTCTCTCTCACACACACACACACACACACACACACACACACACACACACGGTGGTGTAAGCCTGTAACCTCAGCTACATGATACAAACAGATAGGAGAAACATCGTTCCAGGCCAGCAGAGGGAGCAAGTAAGATTTGGGGTGGGAATGCAACATCTTACCCGAAAAAAATACCCCCCCAAAAAAAACTACTAGTAGCAGGTATGACTGACAATGGCTTCCTCAGGTGATTTTCTCATCAAGGAAGGTGCAATTACGCTGTAGCTATGCGACACTGGTGCAGTGTTACCACTGGAAAGTTTGTTTTCCTTTTCGAGCTATGGGAGAGAATTGCTGACAGTGCCCTGGAGTACAATGTAGCAGGAGGAAGGACTGTTGAGAGACAGAAGCCTTCAGTCTGCCTCTCACTTACTGACTACCTCTGAGAATCTGGTGCATTACCAAACCCTTCACTCTAATGCACATTAGAGCATCAACCATCGATTATCCCATCGAGCTAGATCCCTATTACCATTCTACAGAAGAAAAGGAAGAGTTAATAAAAGCACACCAAACTTAAGCGATTATGTTCTGCGTTGCCCAGTGAAGCCAAACTCCACAGCAGATACATATTTTTCCTATGATACTATATAATCGTTCAGGTTTTCACCTTTTTCATTCTGAGTCATTTGTAGATGGTTTTGTTATATAATTCAGGAAAGGGAACACGAGAAGATGAATGAATTTATCTTGCCGTATGCTAAGTGAAGATAGAGATGGCAAATGTATTGAAAAAGCTCTCCTTTTTAAGATTCAATCTTGGGTTTTTAATTTTTTATTATAAAGATACTGTACAGGGGGGTTACATTTGCATGAGTAAGGTAATGAGTACCTTTCCTATCGAACATTTTTGTACCCCCTCCTTTGTTCTTCCCCTACTATCCCTTCCCTCTCCATCTCCCTAACTCCCCCTCCCCCCAGCAAAGTTGTAAAGTTCATTTTCAACATAGTGTCTTGTACGTCTCATTGTTACAATGGGTCATCTGTATCCTTGTTTCCGCATGGTTATTTCCCTTCTCCTCTCCAAATGTATGTACAAGATATATATATATATATATATATATATATATACATACATATATATGTACATACATATATATATGTACATACATATATATATGTATGTACAAGATATATATATATGTACATACATATATATATGTACATACATATATATATGTACATACATATATATATGTACATACATATATATATATATATATATATATATATATACACACACATACAAAATCCAGGGCACCAGAATCAAATACACTGACAACAGGGGTTATACCATTATACCATAGGGGGAAAGAACATACAAAAGGAACAGAACTGAACGGCAGTAGATCTGGCTATGGGCATCAGGCTCCCCCTTGTGGCTAATAGAAGAACATGTCTTTAAGAAATTGTGCATGTATGACCAGAGCATCACAAAACACACCAAACATTGTTTGAAAGGGGGAAGGTAATGTGGGAATAGAATGCAGGGAGGTGAACTTGCTCAGCAAGTACACTGTGCATCTATAGATTCATCACAAGGAGCCCGCTCATATTATTAAGGTATGCAAGCTAAAAATACAAAAAGATGATGGTGATGTGCTGACAGAAGTTGAGTCAAATCTATGAAAATGTTTTGTTAGTGACAGAGAGAATTAACTTCAGGAGTGGGCAGAGCACAGAAGTTAAACTTCACTACAGTCTTTAAGGAGAGCAATAATGAATGGGGTAACTGATGACTCTCCAGCCAGCAGAATAAAAGGAAGTAGCCCAAAGAATTGTTACAGGGCTTTCCATTTCTTAACAAATGGGGTGATGTCATTCTTTCTGATGGAGGCATAGAATTCCATTGTATATGTATACCATATTTTCTTGATCCATTCATCTACTGAGGGGCATCTGGGTTGGTTCCATATCTTACCTATGGTGAATATTGCTGCAATAAACATAGTTGTGCTAGCTTTAGTATGGCCTTGCTTGTGATCATTGGGGTAAATGCCCAGAAGTGGGATTTCTGGATCAAAAGGGAGCTCTATGTGTAGTCTTTTGAGGAACCTCCATGCTGCTTTCCACAGTGGATGAACAAGCTTACACTCCCACCAACAGTGCAGTAGGATTCCCTTTTGGCCACGTCCCCTCCAGCATCTGTTGTTATTAGATTTCTTGATTATAGCTATTCTAACTGGAGTGATGTGGAATCTCAATGTTGTTTTGATTTGCATTTCTTTTATGGCCAGAGAAGTTGAACATTTCTTCATGTTTCTATTGGCCATTCTTAAAGTCTCTCTTTGGAAAAAATATATTAAATGAAGTAAGCCAGACCAAAAGAAATATAGGTCCCATGGTTTCCTTTATTTGCAATAATTAGAATGTGTCTAGGATAATCTTATCAGATGAGCAGAAAAGCTCAAAAGCTATATACATATGAGCATATAAGATGATGCTAAGTGAAATGAACCCCAAGATGTGGACACAAGAGTATTTCTTTGTTGTTGTTGTTGTTTTTAATACACCATGTGATTTTTTTGTTTCTTTTGTATGTTCTTCCCTCTATGGTATATCCCCTTTTGTCACTGTATTTTATTTTGATACCCTGCATTTTGTATATACATTTATCTAATTTGGGGAGGGGAAGGGGAATAATAAAATGCTGAAACAAGGACACAGGATGATCCATTGCAACAATGAGACTTACAAGACACTATGTTGGAAATGAATTTTACTACTTCGGGGGAGGGGGAGGGGAGGTGGGGGAGGAAATGGATAGTAGAAAATAAAGGAGAGGATAACAATGTTCAACGAGAAATGAACTCCTCACCTTATTCATGTAACTGTCACCCCTCTGTACAGCGTCTTTACAATAAAATAAAATTTAAAAATAAAAGGATTGCTATAGGAACTTAAGTATGAGTTGGGTGCTGGTGGCTCATGTCATTCATCCTAGTTTCTTAGGAGGCTGAGATCTAAGGATCACAGTTCAAAGCTAGGCTGGACAGACAATTCCAAGAGACATTTATCTCTAAGTAACCAGCAAAAAGCTGGAAGTGGAGGTGTGTCTCAAGTGGCAAAGCATTAACCTTGAGTAGAAAAGCTAAGTAGGAGTGTGAGGCCCTCAATTTAAGCCCCAGTGCCAGTACCAAAAAACAAAAGGAAAGAAAGAAAGAAAATAAGAAAGGAAGTGTGTATGTGTGGCTTGCTTTTCTCCTTGCTAGCTGCCAGCTCTGCAGAGTGCAAGGTACTATCATCCGAAGCCATATTTGAAGAATTCAAATGCTTTAATAATTCTTTTTTTTTCTTCAGGTAAACCTTGTTTATACAACATCTGCCTTCTCCAAATTTTATAAGCAGTCTGTCGTGGCAGATATCAGGTAATTTAAAGGCCTTGTCTTGGATTTCTACCTGCACTGCTCTAAACTCCCCCACTGGGTATGGAAGGTTGAGATTCCACAATCTCCCTCCTTCCTGCCCCCAGACACCTGCTAGAATCTTGTATCGGAACTGGACAAGGCCCCATCCACCAGACTGGGTAGATGGAGGAGACGAAACTAAAGCTTAGACCACTATTTCTCAAAATGTTTTCAGTGAAAAATCAGTCACTGCTGGGTGTGGTGGTGTGTGCCTGTAATCCTAATACTTGGGAGACAGGGCGAGGAGGACAGCTAGTTAAAGGCAAGCCTGGATGACATAAAGAGAACCCGTCTCAACAAAATAAAACAAGTCACTGGAGATCTCCTGAATAAAGAAGATTTCACGTAAAAATAATTTATAGGAAAGATTATATAGTAAGTGCCATATTCCACCTTTCCATCCTTTAACCCCTGATATATCTGAAGAGAGTCAGAATCCACACTGGTATATACTAAAAAGTCCTAGAGGATGCAACTTGTTTATTTTCATTACCTAAGGCTTTGGTAATATATACAGTCAGGTGATCAGGCTTTGGGGTCACAGGCTTTGAAAGTCACAATAAACATGCTTCCTGGATCTGCTACATACGAACTGTGGGATTTTGCGTTGTATGTATCTGTTTCCTCATCTGTGAAACTGGAGCTATAAGAGGATCTGTCTCATAAGATTATATTGGATTAAGGACAAAGCATTTAGCACAGTGTTTAGACATGGTGACGAATTATACATTATAACTTGTTTTCTTTTCAATGACAGTGAGTAATACTTGCTACCCATAAAAATAGTATATTGTCTGTGGAGATACAGCTATGTAGAAATGGTTCTAGATTTGAACCCAGCATAATAATCAAAATACATGTATCAAGATGCTTTCTCTATCTAACTTCGTAATGGGAGCCAATGGCTCCCTTCAGAAGGGAGTTTAGTGGGAGGATTTGCGCACCGTTCCTGAGTCTCCAAGCTGGTCTCTGGCTTCTGGGAAAGTCTGCTTCCTGAGCAATATCCTTGAACATCTCTCTTTCTACTATAGCAGCAACAACAAAGGTGGCCTCCTTGTTCACTTTTGGATTGTGTTTGTCATGCCCCATGCCAAGGGCCACCTCTTCTGTGAGGACTGTGTGGCGGCCATCTTGAAGGACTCCATCCAAACCAATATCATCAACCGGACCTCTGTGGGGAGCATGCAGGGCCTGGCGGTGGACATGGACTCTGTGGTGCTAAACGGTGATTGTCTGGTAATTCTCTTTCCAGCCTTTCTTCCTGTGGCACTCTTGATGTTGGCCAGTTATGGTAGTTAACATGGCAGTGACATTTTCTCTCCCACAATGGCAGAGACAGGATTAGCTAAGGACACAGAAGTTGAAGGTGGTTAAGGAAACTGCCAAATTTACATATAGTATCATTTCTAGAAAATAGAGCTGGGAATAAATAGATACAAAGTTGAATTTATTAAACTCTATTCCTCTACACACTTATTCAGCTTATGCATTTTCTAAGTCCCCAAGAAACCTAAGTCTTAGAAAAGGAACCCTTTGTAGCATTTATATTATCCTTTCAATAGTAGTACAGACACAGTTGTCAAGAGTAAGCCCTTAGAACTGAAAATTTCATCATATTTAATAATAATGAATTAAATGGCTTAACCCAAACCTTCCACAGCTTTCTCTCTGGGTATGAGTTTTATATGATATACATATAACTTTTGTATATGCACATATATAAATATATGCTAGATGTGTGATAGGTCACTGATAAATACTTGCCAAATGAATTAATAAATAATCTCTAGTGGAAAAGTCCACACCAGCTTTACCATTTCAGTTGTAGGGCTATAATCATAGCTATATACACATCTATCTATATATACTTAAATGTAATAGGGTTAATAGTATAATTAACATATTATTATTATTACTATCCTATCTTTGTTTAATGTTTAAAATTTGTAACTCCGGATGAGTTTAAGGAAACAGAAAGAAAAGGATGGCATAATAAACTCATAGATCCTTACCTTCAACAACTGTCAAGTCATGACTATCCTATTTGATCTCTAACTAAAGAAAACAAATCTTCTGTCCTTAATGAATTATTATACAGCACAACATCAGGTGTACTTGAATGTTTTAAAGTAGGATTGAAAACATTTTTTTTGTTGGTGGTGATGGGCCTTGAACTCAGGGCCTGGGTACTGTCCCTGAGCTCTTTTGCTCAGGGTAACATTCTACTGCTTTGAGCCACAGTGCTACTTCCAGTTTTTTGGTGGTTCATTGGAGATAAGAATATCACTGACTTTCCTGCCTGGGCTGGCTTTGGACCATAATCCTTAGATCTCAGCCTCCTAAGCAGCTAAGATCTATAGACATGAGCCACCAGCGCCCACCTTGAAAATAATTTTTATAAGTGAAATACTAATCAAAAGAAATACTGAGCCTAATATTCTCTTTTCCTATATATTCTTTCAATGCAGCTGGACTTCGGTCAGATTACTCTTCAACCATAGGATCTGGTAAATTCTTCAATGTGGTTCCCTCACCCCTCATTAGCCCCTTTGGTGGTCATGATTTTAGTTTTCTAATGACGGTTGTTTGTTAGTGTTCTTTTAGCTGCACAATGACAAAAATGTATTCAAATTGGCTCATGCCCAAAAGGAACTCGAGTGGCTAATGTCACTGGGAGGTTGGTCTCAGACATGAGAGGCCAAGGTTCTAAAATAAATATTATCAAGACTATACAATTCTACATTTCCTCTGTCAAGCCCTCATTCCCGAATATATTCTTCTATCATGATAGCAAAAATGGCCACCAGCAGACCCCAGCGTATAATTTATTATATTCTCTACTGTGGTAGAAAAATCTCATAGACATTTTCCTGATAGTTCTTGCAGAAGTCCTGGGGCTGATATCCTATTGTGCAAATTGGCTGCCGTATCATTCCAGAATAAACTTCTTGGACTCTTACTAGCCCAGTCCATGTCATTTGTTCACCTCTGAAACTGATGGTTGTTTGTACCCCATTGAACTGTATAGGCAAAGCATTTCTCAAGGTAACAGCTGGTTGCTCTAACTTGAAGACTGGAGCCTGGGCTGTAGGCAGGCAAAAGTTGAAGTGATCATCCATGTCCTCTTTGGCTCTTTATTCTCTTGTAAACATTTGTAGAAAGAAATCATTCCAAAAAAAGAAGGGAGAAAGGAAAGAGAGGAAAGGAAGGAAAGAAAGAGAAAGAGAAAAGGAAAAGGGAAGGGGAGGAGGGAAGGCAAGGAAGAGGAAGGGAGAGAAGAAGAGAGGGAAGGGGAGGAGATGGGAGAGAAGGGAAGGGAAGAGAAAGGATGGGAAGGGAAGGGAATTGAAGAGAAGGAAGGGATGACAAAAGACAAGTCTTATCTCCACAGAAACAGGCTGCTCTCAGTACTTCTATGCCGATCACCTGTCTCTCCGTTACCCTCTGGAGATTTCTGCCACCTCAGGGAGGCTGATGTGTCACTTCAAGCTGGTGGCCATCATGGGCTATCTGATTCGTCTCTCCATTGAGTCCATCCAGCTCGAAGCAGATAATTGTGTGACCGACTCGCTGACCATTTATGATTCACTCTTGCCAATCCGCAGCACCATCTTGTACAGGTATCTTACAGGTGCCCTTGTTGGCAAATAAGATTTTTTATCATCTCTGCTTTATTGTGTACGGGTCCCCATTGGATTAAAAAACTATGTGTTATGCACACTCATGGAACCAAGACTGATCCATACACTATTACATAGCCCTAATCCATACTACCCCAGTCTGCGACTGGCAGATTCAGACTTACTTTTTACCTGCAGCACATCAGCCCCTCAAGCTCAGTACAGCAAGGACTTGGGCTGTTATATATGAAATAGGATAGTCACTCTAATTTACTTTTATTGTAGTGACCACACATTTTAGTTTCAATATTGTGGCAATAATCATTCTATGGTGATTAAATAGTATTAGTAAAAGTTTTTTGTTTTTTGTTTTTGCCAGTCCTGGGGCTTGAACTCTGGGCCTGGGCACTGTCCCTGAGCTTCTTTTTGCTAGGACTCTACCACTTGAGCCACAGTGCCACCTCCAGCTTTGTCTGTTTATGTGGTACTGAAGAATCAAACTCAGGGCTTCATGCATGCTAGGCAAGCACTGTACCACTAAGCCACATTCTCAGCCCAAAACAACAGCCCAAAAAAATTTTTTTATTACTAAGATAACTGATGCTCACTATAGAAAATGAGGTCAGAGGAAACAATAGTAATTACTTTACATTCTTACTCTCCAGAGCAAATTTCTGTTGCGTTTCAGCATAAATCTGTTCATTTGTATTGTATTGTTTATTCATATGCTTTGTGTGTGTGTGTGTGTGTGTGTGTGTGTGTGTGTGTGTGTGTAGTTCTGGGCTTGAACTCAGGACCTCAATTGCTGTTTCTGAGTTTCTTTGCTCAAGGCTAGAGCTCTGGCACTTGAGCCACAGCTCTACTTCCAGCTTTTTGGTGATTAATTGAAGAGAACAGTCACACAGACTTTCCTGCTAGAACTGACTGGGATCGGCAATCCTCAGATCTCAGCCTCCTGAGTAACTAGAAGTACAGGTATGAGCCAGTGACACCAGGGACATTCTTTTTTTTAACTTACTAGTAGGTATCTGTTTATGGGTGCCCAATATTCAAAAATCTAATGACATTATGCTTTATCAATAAGTTATTTTTCACCATGTTAAAAAGTATAAGAATTGTTTTACCTTTATCCATCTTTATATACTATACATTGCTTTATGTGTACACATATGTACTTATATTGGCAATAAATGTGTATGCTAAAACTTCAAACCTTGTATTAAGCTATGCAGTGAAAAGTAAGTTTGCTACTTGCTCCCATTCTTTAGTGATTTTCAGTTTCTTCTATTTTTTTCAGATATTTTTACTTATTATCTCAGTGAAATTTTCACTGAAGGACTGGAGGCATACCTTAGGTGACCGAGTGCTTATCTAGCATGCACAAGAACCTGGATATAATCCCAAACACCACACACACACACACACACACACACACACACACACACACACACATGCCTCATGGTGAGAATATTCTCATCATTAGATGATACTAACATCATAGGAGTTCATGGGAGAAACTTTAGCATTTGCATGGATTTGACTGCTTTGCTTTCATAGCAACCACTATCCCAGTGAATTGATGGGGCTGAGTTTGAAGTCTGGCTTGCTTTGGTTCAGAGTCTTGGGTACTTCATATACTGCTTTTCTACCTTATTTGCCTCCAAAGAGGGTCCAGGGACAGCCAGCTAGGACAGTTCTTTGAGACAAACATTTCTGTACCTTTTCCACCCCCATGCTGTCTGTAGTCCCCATGCAGCTACTAACTGCTAAACATCTTGCTGACAGAGGCTAAACCAGGAGAAGATGTGAAAATATGTGAGTTCAAGGCAGGAGGAAAGCCATACCTCAAATCACTTAATGATCCATGGACTTTTGTTTTCTTATCTGTTTTCAGAATTTGTGAGCCTACAAGAACCCTAATGTCATTTGTTTCTACAAACAACCTCATGTTGGTGACTCTTAAGTCTCCTTATATACGGAGGCTCTCAGGAATCCGGGCATATTTTGAGGTCATTCCCGAACAAAGTAAGTCATCTAAAAAATGAAGTCCTGGGGCTGGGAACGTGGCTCAGTGGTAGAGCGCTTGCCTTGCATGCATGAGGCCCTGGATTTGATTCCTCAGCACCACATAAGCAAAAAGAAAAAAGCCGGAAGTGGCACTGTGGCTCAAGTGGTAGAGCCTAGCCTTTAGCTGAAGAGCTGAGGGACAGTGCCCAGGCCCAGAGTTCAGGCCCCACGACCGGACCCCTCCAACAAAACAAAAACAAAAACAAAAAAATGAAGTCCTGTTGGTAAATATTTATTATAATATTGTAGTCTTCCTTTGGCTGAGGCTTCACTGGAGTAGTAGTTGTGTTAGATAGAGATCCTGACTCCAGGCCCAGTCAGAAGATATAACAGAATGAATTTAATAACTAATAGTAATAATAATAATAGCTGTTGCTAGGTGCTGGTGGTTTACACCGGTAATCTTGGCTACTCAGGAAGCTGAGATCTGATGATCGAGCTTTGAAGTCAGCTTGATTAGGAAAGTCCTTGAGACTCTTTTCTCTAATTAATTATCATGAAGCTGGAAGTGGAGCTGTGGCTCAAAGTGGTCAAGTGCTAGCCTTAAGCATAAAAGTTCAGAGTCAGCCTTCAGGCCCTGAGTTCAATGCCCACAAGTAACAGAGAGGGAGAGGGAGAAGTTGAGAGAGACAGAGACAGAGAGGAGAGAGAGAGAAAGAGGGGAGGGCACTGCTAACTTCATGTAATGGTATTAAGAAAGAAAAAAAAGAAATAAAAGTTATTATAAATGCGAACACCTAGGAATTTTCTAGATGTGGGGAACAAAAGAAAAGGTTGTCGTTATTACAGTTTAAAACATGGATCTGTGGAATGGGGCTCTGGTTTCTTCAAAGGGACTATTGTTCAGCTGCTGCTAGTGATGTTTAGAATTATGTTTTTAAATAAAGAAAAGGCATCCTACAGATCAGTAATGAAAATACAGGATTTGAAAACAAAGAATTTGAAGACAAATATTTTAGCTAACAATCTGCTATTTCTCTGGGAAAAAATCAAAGCTCTAAAAGTATTGCAGATTGTTAAATCAAGGAAGTGCATTTGTGACTGGAGAAATGTGAATCTAGGTTTCCTACAGTCTCACAGCTACAAATCCCTGTGTGTGAATATCTTTTTCAGAATGTGAAAACACAGTGTCGGTCAAAGAAACCACTGGCTTTGAAGGAAAAATTTTAAGTCCGTATTACCCAAGCTACTATCCTCCAAAATGCAAGTGCGTCTGGAAATTTCAGGTAGCCTAGTTTTATCAATACCTTAGAAAAAAATCGGTGGCAGGGTGATACAATGCTATTGAGAAAAATGAAGCAGAAAGTGGGTTCTGTATCTGAATGGGGAGTATGAAGGGAAGTAGGGTCCTGTTCTCTTACATAGTGTGGTCAGAGAAAGCAGTGTCAACAAGGGAACATACGAAGAGAACTGGAGAGCTGGGAGAACTTTGCAGAGCTAAGGTGAGGATACCAAGGCTGGAGGACACTGATGCACATACAGTCATTTGTGCTCAGTCATACGTTAAATAGTCCAACAGTATCATTACTTTCCCCAAACCTGTATTTGATGGCTGAGTCCTGATAACACACATCTTTCATGTTGTGATCAGAATTATTTCCCAAATAATTAGCAGATAAAGGTTCTGGGTCCTTGCTGTTTCCCAGATTCAGGCTTTGAGGCCTCCGATGACAAGTCTGAGATTTGGGGAAATAAGGTGGGAAGAAGAGATGGAGGGCAGAAAAAAAAAAAAAGCATTACTTACCGGAATTAGAAAGCTTGAAAATGGCAAAACCCAACATAAAGATTCTCTCATGTAATGTCTGGATCAAAGTGAAAATGAAATTAAAAGTTTGCATATCTGATGTAATGTATTCATATTACACTGTGCAATAAAAAGGTCAAATGCACTGTGTGTGTGTGTGTGTGTGTGAGTTTGCTCACACACATAGGTAAGTTTTGCTCCTTTGACCTCTTCTGAGGAGACCCAGACATGAGTGAGTAATAACTTTTGGGATACTAAGGTATAATATGAAGAGGAGGCTGATTCATTTGTCCTTTATCTAAAGAATCTGGATGATGCTTTAAATAGGCATGACATTGTTTTTATCAACAGAGGAAATTGCTTATCCTGGCAAATGAGTGCTTAAAAACTGAGATTCATCTCATGGGAGGAAGGTAGCACACAGAGACTCCTATGTTTTAGCTCTGCCCCTGGGACTTCACAGCTTGTTTCTGAGTACCCAGCTGCACACTCCATACTTCACACTCCACTCTCCAACATGCTTTCCTCCTTATTTTAACTTGTTTAGGAGAACTGGTCTCCTTCATCAGGAGACCATGGGACACACTTGTAGATCACTGTTAAGACCACAAGCCATGAAAGAACAAGGGAATTATACTCTAAAACACCTCCTTAGAGGTGCATTATTCTGACTGCAGATTTGTTTTTCAGAGTCCCCTGCCAACATTTGGCATTGCACTGAAATTCCACAACTATTCAATAACTAAGAAGACTACGAAAGGCTGTGAGCACGGATGGTGGGAAATTAATGAACATATGTAAGTGATTTTCTTATGTGAGGAATCAGAAGAAAAGTCCACAATTTTGGGTGCTGTGTTCCCAAAGAGTCTGCACTTCACTATTCCCAGAGGGAAGCCGAGTGAGACAGCAGCTAAGAAATCTGAGTTTGGGCATTCATCTGTGTTTTGGAGCTTCTGCCTCACCTCTGCTCTCCGTGTGTATTTTCTGTGTTTCACAAAAGCAGCTAGAAGATAAAGTTTTTAAACTCAGGAGCCATTCAGGAAAATAAGAAAGAGGGACTGGTGCTGCATTCACCAGTTTTCTGTGCTAGGAGAAGGCTAATGGAGTTTGCTAGATCCTAATGCTGTATAGCAGAGAGATATAGGTATTTGGGCTTCCTGAGTCAAACTAGCCAGGGCCAGAAGCTCACTACCTCTATTTCTCCCTAGGATTGAATCCAGGGCCTTGCACACACTAAGTATGTGTGTAACCACTGAGCCCCCTTCATTTTCATTTATAATTTATTCTTTCGATGTTACTGTTGATTTTCTTCTGAAAACTATAGTATGGGTTCAACACTCACTGAAACAAATCAGTATTTGAAACAGTATCCTGAGAAGTTAAAGGCTTTTCCTAATTCTTTCCTTGCTGTCATTCCATGAGTGAAATCTTCCCCCTTTGGAATAATTTTGTGAACCCACAACCTTCTTTCAGTTATTTTAGGCAAGCTAATTGCAAAACAGCCCTTGCTCCTATCCTGTCTTCATTGGAAGAGACCCAATCAGATTTAAAGGTGTTTCTGGATGTGTTAGTCAATTGCAGCCTCTACTCCTTTGGGAAGTATTATTGAATAAAGGGTCTCTTGTGTAGGAGTCAGAAGGACCGGGCTAGGATTCCAGCCCTGTCATTTAATACCTAATTTAAGTAGGACAAATTACCTAAGCTCTGATTTTCAGGCTGAAAATAAAATAATAATTCTTACTTACCTTCAATTTGGTTTATTTGGGTAAACATCCAATAATGTAAGGCATACATCAAAAATCAGCTGTTAATATATTTTTTAAAAAATGACATTAAGGAGCTGGGAAGGTGGCTCAGTGGTAGAGCGATTGCCTTGCATGCCTGAAGCCCTGGGTTCGATTCCTCAGCACCACATAAGTAAAAAGAAAAAGGCTGAAAGTGGCACTGTGCCTCAAGTTGTAGAGTGCTGGCTTTGAGCATAAAAAGGCTTAGGGACAATGCCCAGGCTTTGCAAACAACAAAAAATGACATTAGATGGAAAAATGATATAGATTGTGCCCAGAGCTTTAACTATGTTGTATTTTAGAATTTAATAAAAGTAGAGATCCAGAAAACCAATTTTTTCAAAAGAAAATTTTTCGTGAAGTTGTAAGCCTAAGGTTGAATGGTTCTTGGGAAAGAATAAAGGATATTTCTATGCGTAGAATGTCTTTCTGCCCATAGGAGCATAGCGATCAGGGTCTGCTTGCAAGCAATAACAGGAAAGCTCTCTTGTCCCAGATATCCACTGGCTGCTACTGATGCTCTTAGGACATAAACTACCTATCCTTCCCTTACCAGTCTTTTCCCCCTGTGTTGAAAAAGTTCTAATTGAACTAATGAGACACTTTGCCAACAAGTCAGCTTAAGGACCGCATTGGGGAAAAAGGAAAAGTAATGCTAATGAGAAGTCTAAAGGTCTCCTGAAGCAGGATGCAGAGCACATGGAGTGAGGTGTGTGTGTGTGTGTGTGTGTGTGTGTGTGTGTGTGTGTGTGTGTGTGTGTGCGCGTGCATGAACACACTCAGGGCAGCTGGGATGCAGGATGGGAATCCTCAAGAAATAATGGCCTTTCTACAATTATAGAAAAGCAAGTAAGAAAGGGAGATCTTTAGTGTGCCAGAAATGTTAAAAGTTTAACATTAGGCCAACAGGTGTCCAAATCCTGGTACTATTTACTTATCATTTGAACTTTTACCAATTATTTTACTTCTTTATATCTCACTTTTTGTTAGGTCTCTTATGACTGTATACACACGGTGAATGGACTTTTGTTGGGTTTCTCTAACCTCTCACTTTTTACTCTTAATAGTCCATAAACCACCATCATGCATAAACATAGATGTGAAGATCCTTTTCTTCTCTTTCTTCCTGATTTCCCTTCCACATACTTTAATGGGGCTCAACTTTGCAAGAAAACTGTGGATGTTAATGAAGGTTGTATACACATACACACACACACACACACACACACACACACACACACACACACACAATGAGACCAGATACTATAACCATGTCTTCAGGGCACAAGGTTCAGATAAGGTGCCTCTCAGATGCTGTTCCCACCTGGCACAGTTGGACTCTCAGCCCATCAGTCTTTGAACTTCAGCCAATTGCAAAAGGCTTTTCTTGAATAACATGTAAATGATGTTCTCCTTTAAGCCTTAAGGCTTGACTTTAAAGTCATAGATTGAGATCCTGGATGCCAGTGTCTGTCCAATGGCATAGGATGGTCGCCAAGTATTTTGAGGGCTTAGAGCAATTGGCTTTCATAGGCTCAAGGGAATGTCATTCCTAAACTGTGTATTTTATGTTTCCCATAGAGATCTGGCAGGTCTCAAACTGGGAAAAAGTCTGGCCCACACAGGGTGCCTGACCAGCTTACCATAGGCCTACTATAAAATACTCCATTAACTACAGCACTCATGTAGTGAGAATTATTAACCAGAGTGCCATTTACTTGGCAGGATATTGGAGACACTGCTGGTATTAAGTGATAAAAGTGCACTCATGTGCACGCACACCACATGCATGTAAAAAATGGCAATGTCTAGAAAAATCATAGATGTGTGTGACTTCTTTGAAATTTTGCCAAGGCCCAGGCCTGTAATGCATGCCAGATTTCAATTTGAATTCATGCTGCTGTCTTTTCTTCAAGTGTTGATAGAATGCTTTGCTGATTTTTCAACCTGAGCCAAAAGATTCCACTCTATAGAGGAGTACAGATAAAAGCAGGCTACTCTTGTTAGACATTTTTTTCTTTACACTGAAAGAGGAGAAAGGGTTGGAAGAATGAAATCTACAGTTCCTACTCCAGTGTTGGTGAGGAAAGCAATAAGTTAGTCAAACTATGATTGTTCCATTTCTCAGAGGAGGGGGCAGAAGTTGCTGGACCACAGTCATAGATTATAAACTAGGAAACCACAACTAGCATCTCTCATGAAGCCTCAGTGAATTCACAGATGGCAGGAATGCAGTCAATGGGACCTGAAGCTGGCTGTCCTCCCTCGATCTTCTCTCCTCAGGTACTGCGGCTCTTATATAGATCATCAGACGATATTCCGAGTGCCTAGCCCTCTGGTTCACATTCAGCTCCAGTGCAGTTCAAGGCTCTCAGACAAACCACTTGTGGTGGAATATGGCAGTTATAACATCAGTCAACGTAAGTCTGGGATCTACTCCTTAGAAAAACTTGATCATTGGTGAAATGGAGGTCAACTCTTTATATCTCTACTCCTTGAGCACTTGAGATATGAACACTAATGTCTGTTATTTTCTATTATATATATTTATATTTAATTGGCAATACTTAAATGTGTAACATCCAAATGGTATATAAAGTTACGTATCATTTTTATATTTTAAATTATAGAAGAAATGTTTTCACTTGTTGATTCATAGTTCATGTTCCAGAAATAATTTGACCTTATGGATTCCTAGTTCAAATATAACTACTCACATCATTCCTAAAAAAAGACAAGCCCATTTCTTTTTGTTGTTTTTCTAGCTAGCCAAAATTATTTGTAAAAGTGATGTTTACATTAACATTTAGTGGAACCAAGACCAACAGTCTTGATTTTCTATGTCCTAGGTTAATGAGGGCAAGCGGATTGATCAATAGAGCTCAAATTAAAAAAAAAAAAAACACCTCTTGGAACAGTGGCCAAGGAAGTGGTTTGTAGAAAAAGTAATGTTTGGAGGAAGTCAATGGAGCTGTCGACTGTAGATAATGACTTGCTCCAGAAATGCTATGCCTGTTTGAAGTGCAGAGGAGGGGAGTAAAGGTCACTCACCAAGGTGTCCTTGAGGATATAACTTGAAAGAAAGCTCCCTTTGGACCCACATCCTCTCTTCCAATCCCAGCATAACTGTTTCTGGATTCCAAATATTCCAATGTTGGATATTGGGATATTGAATAACAGATAGCTAAAATTTCTAGCCAGAGATTTGGGCATACTGAGCCATTTAATTCCTAATTGGTCGTTTTATTTTCATTCAGTCATGATGATTTTCCAGCAGAATATCCACTCCATAGTATGCCATCAAAGCAGTAGTTGACCTGACCGTTCACTCTCCTCCATTCTTTTGCACGAAGGAAGAGAAGATTTATTATTTATATGATATGCATCTCTTACGCCTAATGATTTAGGCCAAGCAGATGATGGATCTTTGATGAAGAGCCCAGCTGAAGTGGAAAAAATGACAGTGAGATAGGAAGCAGAAATAGTTGGTTCTGAGGAGAGGCATTAATCTAAATCTACATGTATTTAATTTGGTAAGATCCGTAGGTCCTAATATTTTAGAACAGAGATCACTTAAAAACTGCACGAAAGACCTGTGAAATAATATATATCTGCTATCAGAGAATTCAAATACAGTAAGTCCATTTATAATTCCCTAAGGATCTAAAAGATCTAAGTCTAGATCAGATCTATAGATATGCCACTGTTGAACATGCCAGCACCTCTTACTTATCTTTGATAAGCTATCACTGGTGGTTATAGAAATTTGATTGTGCATGCTGTGAGTGCAACATTTACTTAAGAGCTTCTATTTGATTAATTTGCTATCTTCTTTGCCTGTTAAAAGTTCTGTGTTTGGTGGGTGTGACTTTTAGTGACCCATAGCTTTAATTGGATGTAGAAAGTGTATAATTATTCCTGCTACTTTGCCATATCCCAAACCACTTAATAGTTCGTAGTTCTTTGCTACTATGGTCTGGTGACTCTTAGGGACCCACCCAAGATTTTCTATCTCTCATTGCCTGTAGCTTGTCCTGTTGGATCTTTTAGATGCTCCTCGGGTTTGTGTATCCCTCAGGCCCAGCGCTGTGATGGAGTCAATGACTGCTTTGATGAAAGTGATGAGCTCTTCTGTGGTGGGTATTCAAGCTTTCCATACCATAAGAAACTTCTCAGAGTTATTGTTGCTGATGTGTATTTATAGTATCTGTTCTGTTTTGTTTTTGACACAGCGTCTCATTATGTAGCTCAGGCTTGACCCAGATTCATATTCTTTCTGCCTCATTCTCTGGAGTACTAGGATTAAAGGCAAACACAATGACACTTACTTTGTTTATAATTTTTGTAGCTGTTACCCATCACTGCCTTATAAAGTATCAACCATCATTTATTCTTGACCTCCTGCAAGAGTGCATTGTCTGGTAATTTAGTGATTAAGGCCTAGCGCAGCCAGGAGGATCAGTTTCAGGCACTGGGTCTTCTGAGCTTGCTTCTTCCTAGGTTGGAATCTGGCCTATTGTTTGTGGCCCTTTCTTTCATTGAATCAGTGCAATGGTCACTGGCAGCTCCAGAAGCAAAGGAGGAGATAGGAGAAACATAGGACTCTTCTTAGAACTGGGCTTGGGAGTAACATACCATTGCTCATGTCACATCCCATTGCTCAAGGCCAAAGTCAAGGTGCAGGACAGTCATCCTGTACATCTTGTGAACATGGGAAGGGTAGGTTCAGCAATATGAACATAAGGAGTAAAGAACTGTGGATAACTCAATCTACCACCATTTTAAACAATCCTACCTAAAAACATAAACTCTTCATCTAGAGAGATGCTCAGATCCTGCAAAGAAGTCAGATCAGCATGCTTATTTGTGGAACAAGGGTGTTTTGTCAGTAAAAGAGTTGGTTTAGTGGTTTAGTTGTTTTTAACCAGTACACTGACTTCATACTGCTAACAACTAAGAGATAGAGTGTCAGAAAGGCCTATTTTGGGTAGAGAATCTGTGTCTCAATTTTCCATTATTGTGTGCACCTCATACTTGATTCTATCTCCAGTTTCAGGGGGAAAATGTAAGGAAGAAAAGTCACTAGACGATGTGGCATCATTGGTTACATTTTATCCAGACTGTTTACTTCAAATGACTATGAAAAAATATTACTCATGCAAAATGACCTTTTTTTATTGACAACACAAAGTAAAAATTCTCTTAACATGGTTTATTGACAACCTAAATCTATAGCATTGTCTGTTTCTTAAGAAAACAATTGCCGATCATCATAATAGTGACTGAATTTTTTTTTTAAAAAAACATTATTTTAGACTCAGATACTCCCAACAAAAGTGATTGCCATTAATTTATAATAAGGGCTATTTTTCTGCAAATGTTATTCCTCAAAGTGTCATTTGTGGTATCAGCTTGGCATTCTTGGAGACTTAATAGTTTATTACAGAGTCATAGTGTTCTCTCTTCACTGCTTAGAGGAGCAGAATGAGACAAGAAATAGCACTTTATTTAAAAACAGAGATGAAAAGACTGATAACTTCTCACCAAAAATAGATCTGCCTAAGGAATCACACCTTCAGAAAGTGCTTGCCAATCCATGTGCCTGCCATGCATTTAAAGACAGCTAAAGAAAATACTCCAAAGAAGGAAGATGTGATAGATTAATATCATGATTCCTATTTCGGAAAAAAATATCTTTCTGGATTAAATAATTTCAGAGAGATCTCAGATGGAATCCCTATTTTCCATACATTTCCACTTATTTTAAGAGGTAGACAAATTCAACTTAGATAATAGCTAATAATATTCATTTACCTTAAACAGTATTATATAGTGCGTTTAATTTTAGTTAAACAAATCCACCAGATTTTAATGCACATCCAATCACAAAAATAAAATCTGACAAACCCAAGTGCTACTAATTACCCAAAACTTCCTCACAGGAGTGACAGTTTCCAGGAAAATGAGCTCTATTTTGTCCCCCTTAAGGACAATCACTTTAGAAGTACCGCTGGTCATCAGAGAACATGATTGGCTATGTAGGCTCATGACTTCTGTTTTTCTTCATCCTAGTGAACCTGAAGCCAGCCTGCAACAGCAGCTTTTTCCGGCAGCATGGCACCCTGGTGTGTGATGGCTTCCGGGACTGTGAGAACGGCCAGGATGAGCAGAATTGCACGCAGAGTGAGGAAGGCCCCAGCCGCTCTGACCTTCCCAAAGAGCTCCTAAAGCACAGCCCAATACCTTTGCTGGGTTAGAGTGAAGTAAAAAGAACCTGCCCACTTTAGTCTTTAGAGTCCCCCTCAGTCCTAGACAAAGTGCAACAGGTGGTTATGCTAGCCAGGGTAGTGGTGTGTGTGTGTGTGTGTGTGTGTGTGTGTACGTGTTCTGCTGTCAATACTGACAACCTTTCATTGCTTGCTTGCTTTAAACTACTAAGCATATTTAAGCTACTATAGCATATTGAGGACCTGACATAGAGGAATTACATGATATGTTGGAGGGACATCTCCTAATTTAAGCCCTGAAAAAATGAAAACCTGCAGGATTGTAAACAATTGTGCTATAATTCCTGATATCTATTTATTTTTCTCTGCCCAATTGGTACAAAAGGTCTGAATGTGGCAGTGAATTTTTTCCCCAGAATTGTTATAGACAATATATATACTAATCCTAGCTACTTGTGCGGCAGAAAGAGGAGAAGAATTTTTTGAGGACAGCCCAGGAAAAACAGTTAGAAAGATAATATCTCAAAGAGAAGCCAGGCATAATGGTTCATATCTGTAATCCCAAATACATGGAAAACATAGGTAGGAGGATTGTAGTCCAATCCTGGCCCTAGACAAAAATCACAATACTGTATCTGAAAAATAACAAAGCAAAAGGGTTGACAGCATTACCCAAGTGGGAAAATGCCTGCTTAACAACTATGAAACCCTAGCTAGATTACCAGTAGCACCATTTTCTTTCCCCTTGGAGAATAAGACAAAGAGGCTAAGGCCACAAGATACTTATATAGCCATCTCCTTTGCCTGTCACTAGAGTAAGTAAATGGAGATTCAGTCTGATTGGTTCTCAGTTGATATGCCTGTCTCCAGTGACTCTGCTTAATGGAAAAAGAGTCCCTTCAGGATCATTCCGTCTCTCACTTAGGGTTTTCCCAGAGCAGCAAATAGCAATTCCATCCCTATCCATCCTTTGCACCCTATCCACCCAAATCAGTATGATTTGCTCAGATCAGGTTCTTTTGTTCATTTTAGGTGTCCCATGTACCAACAGAACGTTTAAGTGCAGCAATGATGTTTGCTTTAGGAAGCAAAATGCCAAGTGTGATGGTATCCTGGATTGTCTAGATGGAAGCGATGAAGACGGCTGCAGTGAGGAGAACTTTGTTCTTGGCTCTTCTACTCCTCCCTTTTCCACCCTTATATCTCCCTACTTTCTAGTCTCATCCTGTCTTGAGTAATTCTTCTGATGAGGGTCAAAGTCACTGGAAATCATAGGCTACATGGATGAACTAAGTTTGAAGTTCCAGAGTTTTATTCTTTCTTCACAACAAACATTGATGCTGTAGATGTCTATACTGAGAACTTTTATTCCCAGTGACATTGATCGAGGGAGAAGATCTTAGGAAAAATAAGTTGTAAGAAAAGAAATAGGGCTGGGAGGGTGGCTCAGTGGTAGAGTACTTGCCTTGCATGCATGTGGCTCTGGGTTCGATTCCTCAGCACCACATAAGCAATAAAAGCCAGAAGTGGCACTGTGGCTCAAGTGGTAGAGCACTAGCCTTGAGCTGAAGAGCTGAGGGACAGCGCCCAGGCCCAGAGTTCAGGCCCCATGACCGAAAAAAAAAAAAAAGAAGAAAGGAAAAAGAAATATCTAGGCACCTGTGGCTCACATCAGAGCTACTCAGGAGGCTGAGATCTAAGGATCATGTTTTGAAGCCACTTAGGACAGGAAAGTCCATGAGACCTTTATCTCCATTATTCACCAAAAAGCAGAAAGCAAAGCACCAACCTTGAGCAGAAAAAGATGAGACAGATTTTGGGCCCTGAGTTCAGTACTGGCATACACACACACACACACACACACAGTACAGCTTGGTAGATGAAAAATTATGTGCTGTGCACTAGTTTTTTCTGTAACAAACCCTCAATGACTGTGATCTGTCACAGGTTTATTTTAGTCAGGTGGCCTCTAAATTTGCCAGATGGCCACATGTTAATTGCACCTCTTTACCAATACTGTTCACAGTGGGGAGTAAATTCTCTCATGGCTAGTTGCTTTTTAGTAGGCTTTCATTTGTTTTATATCCACAAATTCTCTCCCACTTGGTTTCTCTCAAATTACAACTTCATTGACATTCTCAGTTCGGTTACATTGGGGACATATCATAGCAACTGAATTCCACAGGCTGCCATTTATGCCACACCAGCTGTCACCTCCCAGATCTCTCGGCCTCCACATGCATTATTCTGTAGAGACTCCATGTCTGGGTGTGTTCTTAAAAGGGAAGGAGTGTTCTGTTTGTATCGGTCTTAGATAAACCAAAGATTTACTCTCATCTAGATAAGCAGCAGATTTTCAGTTGTTTATGAGTCAGTTCCCAGCCCAGCATTAAACCTGACCTAATTTCCAGTTTTCCTTTAAATCATGTGATTGTTCCTCTTCTAAAGGCTGTCCCAGGAGCTCCTCCTCCCTCCAACGAATCATCGGGGGCTCTGACTCCCAGGAAGGGGCCTGGCCATGGCAGGTCAGCCTCCACTTTGTTGGATCTGCCTATTGTGGTGCCTCTGTCATCTCCAGGGAATGGCTTCTCTCTGCAGCCCACTGTTTCCATGGAAACAGGTAGGGCAACCCAATCCTATTCTCAGACCCCACACTCAACCTGTAGACCCTCAAGTTGTGGCAAGAAGCTCTTCTGGTCGGGGGCAAGCAAGTCTGTTGGGCTTTTGTATTTGTTCACTTTGTGGGAGGTATCAGTTCTCTGCCATACAGGCCTTTCCTTAAGATATAATTGAGGGAACTTTCTGGAACTTACCTAGATCGTGTCGCTGCTGTGACAGCTTATTTTCATCTCTAGTTTTAGTGAGGTGATGAGTGAGGCTCGGAGTTACGCTTCTTGCTATGTCTTTGGGTAGAACCAAGGGCTAAGGTAGAGCCAGGCAGGGGCTAGGTTAGGACCATGGGAAGTCAGTTCCTCCTTGGACCATGTGTTTCTCTTCAGCTACTAACCTCGTGCTTCATTTCTTTTCTATCAGGATGTCAGATCCCACACCATGGACTGCTCATCTAGGGATGTATGTACAGGGGAATGCCAAGTTTGTCTCCCCTGTGAGAAGAATCGTAGTCCATGAGTACTATAACAGTCAGACGTTTGACTATGACATTGCCTTGTTACAGCTCAGTATCGCCTGGCCTGAGACCCTGAAACAGCTCATTCAGCCAATATGCATCCCTCCCACTGGCCAGAAAGTCCGCAGTGGGGAGAAGTGCTGGGTGACTGGCTGGGGACGAAGGCATGAAGCAGGTGTGTGGTGTTCCCCTCCCTACAGGCCACCTAATGTATGTTAGGGTAGCACTGGACTCTTGCAGTTCTGGGGTGGGGGTGGGGGGTGGGGGAGGGCAGGGATTTTAATGTCATCTCCTTTGGACCTTCTGACAACTGTGGGGATGGATGGTTTAACATTTTTTTAAAAAGTCTTTTCCACCTGCACCAAAAAAAGCAAGAACTACCTGATAAAGGGAAAGAGGGCATATATGAACAATGTAGGATTTGCTAGATAGTATGGGCCCTTTATTTTGGGGGGGGGGTCCTGTCGTGGGGCCTGAACTCTGGGCCTGGGCGCTGTCTCTCAGCTCTTCAGCTCAAGGCTAGCACTCTACCACTGGAGCCACAGCGCCACTTCTGGCTTTTTTCTTTTT